CCCACCATCGACAACGATATCGCTGATAGTAGGTGTGTGTTGTTGCAGTCGGATTGAGGAGAAACAGACCGAGCACCGTGTTCGGATTATGGAGCTGTACAATCAATGAATGAGGAGATCAGAGAGGGAAATGGAGCTGGGAATTACGCAAAAAAGAAGCAAAATAGTAATCACAATTTCTTTGCTTTTCTTCATTCGTTCTCTAAGGAAAAGGTTCAATCGAACCCCTGGAGGGAGCGGATAAATGATCAGGAAAGCCAGATGGAGGGCTAATGGTGATATTTAGGCGATATCACATTTGGGAATACATGAATCCAAAGATGAGCTAGAGGCCTCTCGTATACAGGAATGGCTGACACAGATGCGTTATGTACCCTCGTAGAAGCTGGACGCGAAAAGTGTATCGGATTTTCGAAACAATACTAATTGATTTATTTGCACGCCCTTCCGATTAATTGTTCAACTAGTTAATGTTTCTCTAGATTTTCGCAATGCAAAAGCACCACCAATTAGTTTATGAATCCCTTCAGCACTCACTCTCAGATTTCATCTTTCTTTGGTGCACTGGTACCGGCTTTCGTTCCTCTGCTAGACGACAGCCTGCACATTGTTGCTGGTGAATTGAATCAGCAGCCATAGCTTCTGTCGGTCTAACTGCTAGTTGTCACTTTTAGACTGATCACCCGGAACATTTTTCTTTAAAACTCACAGCTCCTGTTTTCACTAGTGATCACTGTTTAATTCTCACACGACCCACAGTATACACCCGTTTTATTAGTGGTATGTACACTGAAAAAACATCCAAGTTACCATACGACTTCATACTCTTCTTCTTGTCTGATTAAAAATATCTTTTTACTTCCTTTTTTATTTATTGAATATACAAATGTACAGTCAACATTCAGGAAAGGGAGGCCGCGACCATACAAAGGATGCCGGGGAAGAAGGGTGGATGTGGAGCGGTTCGAACCCGGGACTTACGGGTCACAAGTTGGTGACCTAACCACTTGGCCACCACCGCCCTTCCTCTTACATGTTCCACTAGTATCGTTTCTTCTCATGGTTCTCCTCCTCCTGTTCTTTTCTACATAATGCAGTCAGCCTATTCATTAAAACATTCAATAACATCTTTAGCCTATGCTGTTACTTCGACACGATTTGTCTAAAACGGTCCAACGGCATCTCCACTGTTAAAACCATTAAGAAGACAGAAGGAGAGATCGAACAGGTATAAAAAACTCAGCGTCTATCCAGTATTATTCCAATCTGATCAAAGCTTAAGTCAACCGCCCGATTCGACCGTTCTGACCAAAAACACTTCCGCCCAACCGCCTCAACTTCCGTTGGTCATAAACTAGCAAAACATGCTATTCTTACGCGCATTTAGTCCTCTTCTGATTGCCAATTTCATTCCTCTGCTAGATATCTCTCTTCGCACACAAACATATGTAATTTCGCAGTAGTCTCCTCGATGTACGTAATCTGGTTAAAAAAAGAACACTTTAAGGCAGACTTTCTTAAAATTTTCCAGACTCGACTATTTGTTCTCTGCGATGTACACTATTGACTGAAATATAAGCATCACGCTAGCAGAATTCAATAACAAGACAATAAAATATTTTTTCCCCGGTATTATCCACATTCTCCATCAAACTCTCCTTCCATTGAAAACTGTGTAAAAGAAATTGGGTATTTCAGATGTTTACCAGTACGCGGATACCTAAAAAAGGTTACTGTACTTTATTCAAAAAATGGAAATAAAGATAATATAAAAAGATTATTGCGCAGGCACGACATACCCGGANNGTTACTCATTCAGCACCAACTCGCTTCCCGATCGTTCTCTATTTCCCGGGTTTATTTTTAAATTCTTCACTCTGTTGGTTCCCACGTGCCTCTCGCGTTGCGCACAAAGTCGGTTTGCTATTGCGTGCCAGGCGTTTGTTTACAACCAGGCACTTTCTCCTTTTATACAACGCCCAAGTCCGCCCGACGTTCGAATAGTGCGGTCACATGTGGAATGGAGCTTTGTCCTCTGCTCTTTCTTCTCTACCGCGTTCAGTGCAAGATCATTCGGCGGATCGACGAACAGTTTTTAACTTCCAATCTGCAGTCCCTTTCCCAGTTGCTTCGTTATTTCTTTTCTGTCGTTATTACAAGTTCTTAGGCGGGTAGTCACCCTTATTAGGTTTCTGTATCCATATGTTGAACTCCTATATTTGCGTCCTCTTTTATCCCCAGGACTGTGAAATTATGGAACACTCCTCTGATCTCTCTATTTCCAAACACTTCAAAAGCAAGATCCAAACATTATTTCCCACTTGAATGACCCACCCCACCTTCTCTCGTACAGTGTCATGGATTATTGGATTATGGATTGTGGATTATCACTTTCTGTGTAATAGAAAAAGATCTTGAAAGTATCATAAGAATTTGCGCAACATTTTGGCTACCACAAAAGGCAGCAGGAATTCCAAATTTAGGAATAAGGAAAGACTTTGGTGAACGCTACCGTATCTGGAATAAACTACTCAATCCACCGTACTCGAACAGCGTCGGTCAAGGTCACCATCACACTAACCTCGAGATTGAGTTAGAACTCCACTACAGCCATCACCCGACCTACCTGTCTGTCCTAAGTGTCACGACGCAGTCTCATCGGTTGTAGTTGTCTTTACATGGAAGTAAGAGAATTATTACTCAAACGGAAAGAGCAATGGTTTTTTTAGACAAACCAAGGGGAAATTCTACCCCATACCAATTTGGGATCAGAGCATGTGTTATGTGTCAAATCGCGATGATCACAATAAAATACATACCGACGAGTGGCCTGATTCGTTGAACAACAATCAGGCCAGTTAGACACAGGCACATACATGCATACAGACATGCATACACATACATACATACAAGATCTTAGGGCCGTCTCTGTGGCAACAGGTATTCGTAAGTTCTGCTGGGAATACCTCACGGCGTGCGGTTCAATCACTAAAAACTGTCCATATTTCAGCTGTGTTCATTGCACACCAGTACGTGATGAGGGACAGAAGCGGAAAACTTTACTCGTAAGGATAAATTATGATAACCGGCAACGAAAAATGGCGAACTAGTTACGGTCCCCAGAAAGGATAGGCGGGTGACAACAAAAGTGAGACTGCCATGAAAAGGGAGTTTGCCAGACACTACACTGTAAGTGGGATGGTCAAACTGTGGCAGCAGATGTTTAACAAATTATTGGATCCAACATGCAGATCTCTGAGAACGTATCCAGATGACCCAGTGAGAAGAGGTTTCTGATCCGTGTTTATCTTTGTAAGCGGGTGGATAGACGTGTGTGTGTGTGTGTGTGTTACGCAGAGATATGAGAAGCAACAGAACAGCAAGAGAGATCAAACAGGACGCAATACTTACCGCATAACGTGCTAACACATTCGATCCGGCTCCCATGCCAAACCCAATAAAATAATCAATTCTAGACCGAAAATCCAAGTGACGCAAATCAGGGAACGGTGGAAAGGGTGCGAGAGACGGACAGAGAGAGAGAGAACCATACGATAAGCAATGAACAAGCAACCAAACAGTCAACATGATAAAAAGCCAACATGGAAAACGAACTGAATGAATTTTGCATGACGAACAAGTGCACGTGTGACGGAGAGAAAACGAGGGAACTAAATTAACGAATGCTTCCGGAAGAACGTACCCAAAGTAGGCAACGATAGAGGTAATCATTTGAGCCAACTGGTCCAGAGTAGGGTAAACGATACTGCAAGATAAAGAAAACAAGATATGAAACTGGTGAGAAACCAAAGAAATTCACCAACAGTGTAAGTTCCAAAAAGAGTGACAGAGAATCTCTATCACTGAGACTC